TATTCTTCATTGATCTTACCATACTTAGAGTATGGCGTTGAAAACTGGGGAAATACATATATGAGCTCACTTCAACCATTGTATATATTACAAAAAAGAGCGATAAGAATTGTGCATAAGATGGGATATAGGGATCACACCAATGCAGCTTTCATACAGTCTAAATTGTTAAAATTTTTGGATATAGTGGGATGCAAGACTGCTGTGTTTATGAATAAAGCCAGGAAAAATGTATTACCTGGTGGAATTCAAAAGTTATTTAATGAAAGGGAGGGGGGATATAATTTAAGGGGTCAGTTAAATTTAAAAATTCATGCTATATAGAATTGATGAGTTTAAACATAAGTATAAAGGTATGTGTCAATCAAGATATATGCAAGAACAGGCTCAATGATTAATTAGATGGAACATTGTGGGTGTGGGATAAGAATGTTAGCACTCTAATAATTCTTTAGTATATTACTTGTGTGGCGTAGAAGATAATTATCTATGAATGTAATTACGTAGAATGTTAACACTGTAATAATTCTGTAGTATATTACTTGTGTGGTGTAGAGGATAATTATTTATGTAGAGATATTGCTTAGGACTTAAAAGTTGTAAGATGATGTCATGGGGTAGGACTAGATAAGTCTAACTTCTTCCTACTCCGTTCAAGCATGTACTAGGTATAAGTAAATTGATATTGGATTATTATTGTTGGATATGTGTGAAATTACATGTGTTGACATATCAACTGTCTTTACATGCTTGAACGAATAAATCAAATCAAATCAAACATTGTACTGTCAAGGAAAGAGACGGTTAATCATCTATCCCAAGTCTAGAGTTTTTAAATACCAACAGAGAGATAGATGCTAAGGTTCAGGAAACACTGCTCAATTCCCTTTTCCTTTTCTCCCTCTCCTGCCCTCATCATTTCCTTTAAAGTCCAAGTGACATTTTCCTGCTTGCCTAAAACCCCTGAACCTTGAGTTCCTTTCTGAACCTGCTGCAAGTAACCATTCTGACAAAAAAAAAGACTGGGGAAATAGATGGGCTGCTTCGAAGACAATCATAAGATTTAATGTTATTGACTTCTTTTTTGGACAAGCACACACTTTGTTTATATAGGCTTGACTGCTTTTCTAACCGATTACCGGACTTGGCAAGACACTGATGTGCGCTTACAACTGTAATGCAGGAGGAAGACTATACTGTGCTCTTTGAAATGCTGATCAACAAGAGCAAATGAACTTGTCAGCACACAAAGATCAATGATACATCCCAGTAAAGCAGATCTCTGTATAGCTGTGTCCTGATTTATCCACACAATTCAGTAATAAGAAGGTTACAGTGACCACACATGGATAAATACTGTTTTTGTTCCCTGTGCAATTTGAGTCTACCAACCAGCCCTGTGTTTTCACACCAGACTCTTGATAACAATGCAAGACTGGGACACCTCAATGCATGTTCACAGCCACAAAATTAATTTAACAAGCCTGAAAGAGGTAGACATTCATGTTGTAATTTCTTTGCAGCACCAGCAGCTGTGGTGAACACAACAGTCCCTACAGGGAAGCAATTCTTGTTCTTCTGCCCAAACCAGTTTCTCCAGATCTGACTGCCAGGATGTTTTTGTCTTATTCCAATCATGCTGTGCTCACGTCCACCTTTTTGATCTTGTAAATAAAATATAGAGGCTTTTCCCGCCCCAAGAATTTGTCCTGTAGCATGTCCTCGGTGATTACATATTTATCTTGGTTAAATGGAAAAGTGTTTGGGGGTGGTTGACTGATAATGCTGACCCGTGGGCAAAAACAAACAACATCACGGACAATGACATCATGCTGTATGCATGAGAAAACCGAAATCATAAGCTTATATTATTTGTATGGCATGATTTACGGAGGACAAAAACAAGTGTCAGCGTTTTTCACTACAGCTGCCGCTCATAACTGATAAACATGGGAGAAAATGCAGAACACATGGTTAATCATTTCCGTTGTTACGTTTAAATAGGCTCAGTGTTGTATCCATACACCTGACCATGGTTACCTCACATGGACGGGAATAAAGTCCAGAGAAACTGTTTAACGTGGGTCACTTGACAAACAACTGACACCAGGCTGAATGAGAAATAAGAACCAAAAGCGACCGAGAGAGCGCAGCTGGTCTCCCACACCCAATTACACCAAAGTTGTGACTACAAAGTCCCCAAAACACGTTAAAACTAAATAAAAGTTGAAAGAGAGAGAGCAGTAAACGACAGTTTTTTTTCAAAACAGATTCAAATGTTCTTACATTATCTGAAAAGTTGCTGTTGTGCTCAAATATCGTAAACGGTAGAGTCATCAACTCAGCTCAACCTAGCTGTTCGCTAGCTTGCTGGTTAGCTAGCTAGTTCCGCTTTCTTTTCAACTACCTAATACCGCCACTACTTAAACAACTAGTGTGTGATAAAGGGAGAGGGGAATTTATGTAACGAGTCAATACTTACAGGTAACCCTCCTTGTTTTTTCTTAAAAAAAACCCCCAACAACCTCACAACTCCTCCTTCTTTCAGGTATGTAAACTGGCAAGAAACAACTTCTGGATTCCTTCACTGGTTCTACCTTCGGGGTGTCCGAAGTGTGTCGGTTGGTGCCTTTAGGTGCTGTCGGAGATATCGCGACTCCAGAGGCGGAACCAGTATAAAGTTTTATTTAACGTCCGTACACTGGTAGTGCTGGAAGACAGAGGTGGATCAAGCATTCAGATCCTATTTGAAGAAAAAGTACTAATAACAGCAATGCAAAAATACTCTCTAGAAATAAAAACAATGTAAGTATAATCATTCAATTTTACTTAAACTATTAAAATATTAGTCTAATTTAATTTACTTCCAGATAATAAAGCAAAGAATACAGATAAATATTATTAATGCAGCAGTTTACATAGTTTCTGGCTCCTTTCACCGCGACCCTGGTCGGGATAAGCGTATAAATAATTAATAAAAATAGGATTCTTCTAGATGAAAAATCGCTAACTTTACGTTGCACATAGGAGAAAAGCCATAAAACTGAGGAAAAATGTGATTTTGTTTGTTTGGTAAGTTAATTATTATATTGGCATTATTTCAGTTGCTTTGTTTTTATGTAAAAGTCATACGCTTTGGCTGCTAGATTAGTTATGAAGATATATTTTATCCGGGACACTATGCCTCCGCTGAACACGCTGCTGCAGCACAACATAATGAGCTACCTCTTGTTTTCCATTTTTGCTTAAGCAGTTGAATTTCAAACTGTAATTCCAAGAGCACTGAACGCAACACATGATGGTGCGCATGCCCTGTCATATGATTCAGAGGAGAAAAAAAAGACGCTCCTCATTTTCCCCACATGAGTGCAGCATTTACCCTTCACCCACCCAGACCTCTCTCCCTCGCCCCCTCCTCCCACTTCTCAGTATTTTACATGAAGACACACTACTGGATATTTATCATATCCTCTCTCAGCGACGCTCTGCAATCTGAGCCTCTACCAGCGGATCTGCTGTGTAATTCCCCACGTTTTATAGTTTAAACCACAAAAGCCTCTTCAAGGTGACTGCAAAGACACCGGGCAGAGCGCCAGCCAACATATCAGCTGCAATGTCTGAAAGGCAAGTGTCTTTAACAGCTAAATATTTTCCCTGGTGGTTCACCTACGGAAAAATATCTACAAGCTAAAAATTTCATAACAAGTCCAAATTCGCACATGGGATGCTCCAGAGCTGCCCTCACCAATCTGACATTGTCTGAAAGATGCCCAGGTCTCTCTGCCCATGTATCTTTTATAGAGTCTACATAGTATGCATTATTCAGCAATAACACACAGTCCATCTGGGCGTCTGTGAGTGTTGTGTGTGCACGTACGTGTAGGCCTATGTGTGTGTGTGTGTGTGACATAGTTAACTTTCCTGTCATGCCATTTCACGCCACATCCAACAGTGCTTGAAGAGCAGAGAATTGGTATTTCCCCTGTAATTACAACTAAGGTAGGTTATAGTGTGTGTGTGTGTGTGTGTGTGTGTGTGCATGCACGCTTGTGTTTGACTGAGCATGTGTGTGGGAGAGTGTGAGAAGAAGGAAGGTGGAAGAGACAGGAAAGAAAGTGGGGAGAGAAGGAGAGATAGATTAAGTGAATGTGTAATAGTGACTACAGATGGCACGTTCAGGATCAAGCTCTTTCATCATGCCATTCCTCATTAATAGAGATGGGAGCACTGCCCTAATTCCATAATTCCTAAATCATGCCAGTTAGTTGAATATGAGGAGACAAAAATAAAGAGGAGATAGGTGAACAGATTAGGCTGTAGCCTAATAACGTATCTGTAAAAGAGAGAAAGCAACAGAAGAGAGAGAAAAAAGGAAAGAGACAGAGATGGTCACCATCTGTATTTACTGGCCTTTCTATTTGGTTGTTGCCAAAACCAATATCATATAGGCCAGCTTTATTCTTGCCCATAATTGTCCCATATGTACAGTATGCCTGCAGTGAAAATAGCTAAAATAAACTAGTGATTAATTCAATCTGGTAGTGAGTACACAGTGTGTGTACATTCATGCGTGCAGTGACATAGCCTGGATCACTGGTTTCTCATGATTTCAAGGGCCACATTTGTTAAATTCTGGCTCCGTTCCATTTGTATCGCTCATCCATCTTTCCTCTCACAAGGACTGGGACACGGGAAACTTTCAGGGACTTGCTTGATTGGGCTTAATTTTACATTAGGCTAACTCCCCTCTTACCTGATACTTGTCGGGACAAAGAACTGGCTGACCAAGCACGGGTCTCAATATTCAGACGTAATTTCATTCCCTCGTCATTCTATTTTCACTGGAATCTACTCATCCTTCGTTTGAGTTGTGCTCTCATATGAAACAATTTGATGGAAACCAGAGACATCGATAGCCATTAGCTCGCTTTGCACAGGAGGGCCAAACATGGCAAGCTGAGGCTCATCTATTATTGATGAACCTCAGTTTTCCCCCCAAAACAATGTTTCTGATATTCTTTTTGCATCACACAGCCAAAAGAGACGAGTCAGTAGTTTCAAATAACACTTTTAAAACAAGGCTGATGTATGTTTTAAGCTAGCACTGGCCTTTATAAGCCCCAGTGGGGGATAGTGTCTGTTGTCTCTCTGTCTATTTATGTCTGGTTCAGGTGAAAACCAATTGAGCTCAAAAAGAAGAGGTAACATTTTACATTCCCCTTTTAAACATTAAACCTTAAGGCAGCACCAGCATGTAGCGCTTCCATATCTTATTCAAAACATCTTACTTTTGATTGGCATATCAACTGTGGCAGAGATCAAACCTGTGACTTTTCAGTTTCAGAAGCAGTATTCACATGATGGAATACCATAATGTAAAAATACTCTATTACAAATAAAGTCCTGCAGTCAAAAACCTACTGAAGTAAAAATACAAACATATCAACAGGAAGCTGATATGTCCAAGAATTTAAAGTGCTCATTCTGCAGAGACATGGCACATTATCACAGTATATATTATAATAATAACTTAATACCGATGCATAATATCGTTTTACTGTACATTTGACTACTTTACTTCCCTTGGTTACCAAACTACGGGCCCAGCCGCACCATGAGATCACAAAGGGGTCATGAGATGATTGAGATGCGAAAGGGGAGAAAAGTTCCGTAAAAAACATTTTTATTAATTTTGGGTCTCTAATCTTTGCCTTTTTAAATAAAATATTGTCTAATCTGACCTTGATGGGCCTCAGACAGTTATTTAAATGAAACCATGTGAGAAGCTTAGAGGTGGAATCACTCTGGTGGAAATTCTAACAACTCATAAGCCAATTTTCTATTCAAATATAACACACTTTTTAACCAAATTTTAAGAAATCCAGTACAGCAAAATATGAATTAATGTATTATTTCATCTACTGTTATGCAGATATTGGAAGCTAATTCTCCAGTTGGCAGAAGAACAGGACCAGTGATGAAGATGAAATAACGGAAACAGCACCAGTCAAACCTCAAAAGGTGGAAACTGTGATGGAAACATGCCGTTTGTTATTTAAGGAACGTTAGTTTTACAAAAAGTCAGCGCCAACTTTTCCACATACAGAAAAACATTTTTGCAATATTTTGACTTTTTCAAATTTCAAGTATCAGGTTATGTTTTATGCACAAATTGAAAATATGCATCAAAACAGGTGGATGGAAATACTTTCATAAACATGTAAAATGTGGCGAGAGGCTACACAGTTTTCTGTAACTGCTGGGAATCCATGGTTACTTCTTAAACAGTGTGCTTTATATGTTTTATCCCCAACTGAAAAGTAAACTAAAGCCAAAAAATAATTGTAATGGAATTACCAGAAAGTACAACATTTCCATCTTAAGTGTACAATATCAGACCATGAAAATCCTCAAGTAAAGTTCAAATACTGTACCTCAAAACTGTACTGAAGAATCCATCAGTGGTAGGTCACCCTGCTGGAAACAAGAGAGGAAAGACTATCAAGCTACTCAGTCTCCATGTTGTCAGCAGTTCAGATTAACTGTCACATCGCTGAGGGAGAAACAGCTAAAGCTTGGAGAGGGTGATTTCATTGGAATAATTTCATGCTTTGACTGGCAGACCTCAGCGCTCACTGTCCCAAGACTCTGACGTCAGAGGAAGACAGACCGGGAAAAAAAATAAATAAATAAAAACCCAGGTGCAGTTTAATACATGTCATATCAAATGAAAATTAATTCACATCTCCACTGAAGAAATTAAACTCGGCTTGTGTTTTTAAGTAGACAAAAAGACAATCTTTATTTGTGTGTTTCTCTCCTTGCTCTGATTTCTGTGTTTGACTGACTGACTTTAATGACTGAGGTCAGCTTCCACAAAAACAGCACAAACAGAAAAGGAGACAAACTCATACATGACGCTCAGACCTGGAGGCATCCTACCACTACCAACCATGGATCACAAACCAGAGAAGAAGAAGAAGAAGAAGAAGAAGAAGAGGAAGAAGAAGAGAAGGACACCGTCAGGGGAATAGAAGAAAAGAATACATTTTTTTTTAAAACTTCCACGGGCTATATCCCATCACTGCATCCCACACAGGAGTAATTAACAGTGATTTTAAATGCTACAAAAATAAGATAAAACAGGGAAGGAAGTGCTTCCCCTTGTTCACGTTTTCTTGTGTGTCACCCCGTGCATGTGTGTGCATGCCATGTCCTTTTCTACATGTCTGTCAGTGTGTGTCTGTACATGGATCATCATGTGTGTATGTGTGTGTGTGTGTGTGTGTGTGTGTGTGTGTTCACAGTGCTTACTCATCGTGTTCGCTTCCCAACATTAAAGTCTCATTCCCATGACGCACTCACACTTTCTCTCCCTCCATCTCCCTCATCTGCTTGTTCTTTCTTTGTGCTGTTCCCTTTATAGTCATGTCCGTGAATGCTCTCGCAGTTTCAGAGGAACAGCTTCATTATCAAAGACTGTGTATGTATGTGTATATGTGTGAATGTACGTGTGCGTGTGTGTTTTTTGATGCTACCACACACACCTTGTCTCGTTTGTGCCAGTCTGTGTGTTTCTCTTATTGGTTTACCCTCAGACCTCGGTCCAGCTTGAGTCAGTATTTATGTCCACTGTGATCTGGCCTGGGCTCTGAGGGCTGATTTCCACTCAGATCCACCCAGTGAGTCCATTTATCTCCCAGCCCAAGTTAATCCATCATTGACAGAAAATCAGACAGGAGAAACCGTGCGAGGAGAGAGGTTGAATTTTCCTTTTGATGTCTGAATAAGTCTTAGGGAAGAGCGAGAGAGCAGTAGCAGGGTGTTTCTGATCTTCACCATGAAAAAATATATCATCGTTACAAACAAGATTGATCTGAAGGTTTCACAGTGGTCATGCAACTTTTCCCATCTGTTCTCTGTTCGTCTTTACTTCACACCTTCCCACCCGCCATCCCGCAGACTCCCGACCCATTCATCCTGTCAGTCTGAGAGACGGTACTGTAAGTGACCACAGTCATAATAATACAGAGAGACTGGGCGACCAGTGGTACATTCATACATGAGAAAGTCATGCTTCCAGAAGTCACCCGACCCAGTCGACGTTAGACAGTGCCGAGGGCTCCTGTGCTGGCCAGGCTGTGATAAATGCTTTGTTTAGAAACATGAATAAGACAAAAACACATCCCACCTGAAAATATACACCGCACCACATCCACTCAGAACATTCCCCCCCCCCCCACACACACACCTAATCCTCCCACTGAAACAGGCTATGGTTATACTTGTCATTATAATGTGATATCTGAGCTTCTCATGCAAAAAAAATCTAACTGTATGATTTTTATATCAGTGCTATGAATCTACACTGGGTCTGAAAATATCAACACATATAATATTACATTTCCCATATGGCAACATTTATTTAAATCTGTGCCTGCATTGTTTTCTGCACAGGCCGCTGCACTTTCCTCCTCTCCATCTCTGTACATCTGCTCTTATTCTTGCTGCAGATGGAATTCCTCCAGATAGTTTAGAATTCCAATTACAATGCAAACTTGGCCACTTCCAATTCTTGGTCTGAGGATTGGATAGCAATGTGAGTGAAATCCAATTTTTGTGCATCACAAGCCTATCACTTAATTCATCCTGCTATGATTGAATGATAGGAATTGCACTGGAATGACAAGTTTAATCACAGCCATGGCTACGTCCACCCCATCAGTGGCCAAGAGTCAATAGTCAAATCAAAAGGACCCCTTGATATGAGTACAGAAACATTTCCCTTGTGTTTTTCAGCCGAGAGGTGTTGTTCCACCCAGAATTCAGGGATCAGAGTTGAAGGGCATCTTCACAGGCAGTTCAACATCCAGCTCTGTTAGTCAGGCCTAGTAAGGATGTGCGTGGCTGGGCCACAGAGGAGGCTGGCAGTGGGGGTATAAAGGTGGATCTGGGCAAGGGTGTGGTGGAAACAGAAGGCTTCCCTGAGGGGTGGTGGTCTTAGAGGGACAGCAAGCCCAATCCAGCAAACCCTGGGTGGGGGCTCCAGGAAAAGAGGGATAACGGTCACAGCCAGGAGAAGAATCCCAGGACAAGAGAGGCCAAAACAGCTAAAAGGGCCATGGACCCTAGCCTCCGGCCTGGACTGCCATCAGTCAGGAAGGGCTCCGGCGAATCATATCCCGACCCATCTGAAATGGAAAGAAGAGAGAAAAGAAAAACGACAAAACATCTGAACTGAGAGGGACACAGACAGATACAAAGACAAGACAATCAAAAACAAAATGACTGAACAAGGGAGTGGAGGGTAGATGTGGAGCTATCGGGGGAGTGTGAAATGTGTCACAAACCACAAAAGTATCACCCTTCAAGGGCCGAGGAAAGGCAAAGAGAAGACGGCAGAGACAGGCATGAGGAGAGAGAGGAGGAGGAGGAGAAGACGACAGCAACCGAGCTCTGCAGGGGGTTTAACCAACCTAATTACAGTTTAATCACAGAGACTCGGAATTTGGAGCTGCTGACATACACACACAAACACACATCCACTCAGACACAGTGCAAATGCTCACAGCTCACTCCATTGACAATGTTTTGCCGATAGGATTGAAGTTGCAATGTCAGAGAGATTACTTTTAGCAGCAGAAAACGGCTGAATCTCAGCTGCGGCAACGACAATAAAACGTATGTTGTTTTGGTAATTACGGAGGAGGAGAGAATTTCTTTCCCTCTTAGCAAAAGATGGAGTGATCTGAGCCTGAAAAGCTGTGAAAGCTGGCTCTCATTCTTTTACAAAGATCTTCAAAGACGTGCCATTATCTAGGGAGATGTGTTATTATCCTGGTGCGATTCTTTAGTCAGGCTTAGGCTGAAAACTGATGTGGTGGATTCTGCCTTTGAAAAGGCGTACAGGTAAATGTTCAGGATTACGCAACTGTAGTGTAATCCTTCCGCAATCTGATCCCTGTGTCTGCCAAATTTTTGTTGCCTTACTTTTTAAATGGCACTACATAGCACATGTGTCAGCCCTGCGCTCTGGCTGCACCAATCTATGAAGGAGCCATTTTCAAAAAAGCATATCTCACCAGGCTGCACACTGAGAAAAACACTTTCAGGATCTTTTACCACAAGGCTGATACATAAGGAGAATTTTATATATAAATTATGAAGTGTCTATTATTACATTAGACTTCTACTGTATGTAATGGGTTTATTATTAGATTGCTCTCTTGTTTCTTATGAGCAAATCGAGCTTGTAGAGTGATGTTAAGACTGGGTAATATTTTTTAGAGAGCACTTTCAGCCTGCTCTGGTCTCTTTCTACAAGGACAGAAGGTCCCTCTCACAGTACGTGTGATGTGATGTGATTTGATGTGAAGTGCGTATGCCACTTTGTGCTTGTGTGCATGCGCTTAGGCCTATGTTGAGTGTGTTTGCGCCCGTGCGTGCTTATACAGTATGTGTGAACATGGCAGAATGTGTACGTGTGGTCGTGCGTTTGCAGTGTGTAAAGGTGTTAAAGTGTTGCCTGACTGGTCTGTGAATCAGAGCAGAGAGTGTTGCCGGGGCATTCTATCAGACCTCTTATTCCCCCCTAATTTTACTTTGATAGCCAATCTGGACCTTTGTGTGTATGTGTGAATGGGTTTTTGCGTGCGAGTGTGTGTGCAGTTAGAGCATGACTTACCTGGAGGTCTAACATACACCTTCAGCTTTAGACATGCCCGCCCCACATGGTTTGGATGAGGAGACGCTGTAAAAAGTTAGAGATTGAAAGAGGAAATTAATAGAGAGATAAAGTGATTTGTGCTGCTGATTGGACTCATAAAGTAATTGTGGACATTTAATAAAAGTTTTTTTTATATATTGTTCTTTCACTGAGGCTTATTATCAGGTGGTTGGTTGGCCTAGGAGTTGCTGTGACCAAATTTATACACCATATAAAAATAAATTTGACATTAAAAGACAGGCTGTTGGAATTAAAATGTACTGTATAACCAGTGATCGGCCATAACATTATGACCACTGACACGTGAAGTGAATAACACTGATTATCCCATTACAATGGCACCTGTCAGTGTGTGGGGTATATTAGGCAGCAAGCGAACATTCAGTCTTCAAAGTTGATGTGTTGGAAGCAGGAAAAACAGGCAAGTGTAAGGATCTGAGTGACTTTGACCAGGGTCATGATATTATGGCTGGTCAGTGTATATTTTCTTGCTGTCACCAAGTGCCATGAAAAGTCTACTGGGTGACACGTGTCCATAGGAGCGCAGCAGCTTATTTAGAGTCACTCCCACATACACCACCCTGCTATTGTAACTACTCACTACAGCATCAATCTGTATTCATCTACACTTAAAACCTAATCGTCTCAGTTTCCTTCTGTTGCCAGCAAATTAACATGCAATTTGAAAAATAAAATTCTATGTTCTTGACCAGAAACTTACACCTTAAGAATGTCTGTGCTTGGGTCAGGGTAGGAAAGTCAGAACTACTGAGAGAAAAACACATAGTTGGTTTTGACCTTTACAATGGATTTGTTGATAATAAAAAATATGGATTAACACAAGCTTTATTCTTTAAGCAATGATGCAGGACTGAGCTATATCAACGCTTATCCTTTCATTAAATATTGTAATTTAAATGTGCCTGTTCTAAAACAAATGTACAATTATTTTAAGTATTACAAACCAGCGGATACACAGTGAACCTGAGGGTTTTGTGGCCCCCAGGGGACTTTTGGGGCCCTCAGGCAGTTTGCCCAGTCAATAATCCAGCACTGGATAACTACAACTGTCACTAGTAAGGAAGACACCAAAGCTCAACATAATCCAACCGAGGTACCGATTTATGGGAAGGCAGGGTGAAACACTGGACAATACATAACGAGGTAATAACACTGACACAGTGGAAACAAATAGTCAGCCGACTTCACTTAGGATTCTCCTTTGCCAGTAACTTGCAAGTCTCTGAGGGTTTTGATGCTGACCTATTTTTGCATGCTGCAGTCTTTTCTCCCTTTTCACTGAGTGATTGTTACCACAAACTAAAACACCTACAACACTCTAATTAGCTTGATAGAAATATGTCAGAGATGGTAAAACAAGAAGTTCTTTTCACCATAATTTGTTATAACTGGACATTAATGTAGTCATTAATACAGCCTATTACCTTTCTGATGACAGTTATTGCTTTAAGCATTTGGAGAGTTTCCTATATTATGTCCTTTTAAGTTCTCTTAAACCCAAGCTCTCAAGCTTGTAAACATACTAAGCACTTCAGGCAATGTAAACAAGTCTGTGAGGAACCAGCCCGCACACCAGGATTCAGTCACACTCCCCATTTGTACCTAAGGGAAATAGCTGACTCTCAAATCGACCCGACTAGAATGTCCATACAAATTCCCAAAGATGCAAGTCCTTCTTGCCGTGAGGTGACAGTGCTTACCACTGAGCCACCGTGATGCCCCAATTGAGTGCCAAAAATAAAAAAATGAGAAAAACCTTAAGAAGTTACTGTGAACTTCAAAGCAGGGTAAATGAAATTGAATCTGGGTTTTTAGTCCCACCTCGCTCTGATGTGAAATAGAACCGGAGACCTTAAAGAAGATGAGGAGGAGAGAGGTGACCATCTTTGTGACCACCCACATGCAGACGTGCACACACATATACACGAATGTGAATGCGCACACACACTGATGGTTACAGAAGTGTGTGTGGAGACCTATTGGCCTTCTCTCTTGAGGAAGTCTGCATAGTCAGGGCCCACAGTGACCCCAGAGAGTACCATCATCAAGATCCACAGCGCACAGGAAATAAATCTGACCCCTCTTCTGCCCTCTCCTCCCTCTCTTTGTGCCCACAACTCCTCCCTCCATCCTTCTTTCTGCCCTTCACCTCCTTTACCTTTTTATACCTTCCCTAAAGCCCACTTCCATTGCCTCAAATTTCTTCAAATTATCCACCTACCATTCTAATAGTTCCCAGAGAAAGTGTACCGTGGTCCCCTGTGAAGCGCTGCTGGCCTGGTATCAAGCTTTCTCTCCTGTTGTATGTCTTTGTTTCGGCTTCCCTACTGTTTCACTGAAAGAACACTAGGGGAGAAAGGGCTAGAAGTGAATAGATATATATCCCTCTCTCTTTCCTCCCTTTCCTTTGTGACCTGCAAGGATTTTTAAAAAACATTTTAAGTCTTATCTTTTCTTTCAGCACCTCTGTTTCCCAGCACATCCACAATCCCACGTCTGCTGAAAACCCATTGAAAATCACTCATCCTCATCAGATGGCAGCTGGGAGAAGAAAAGGGTGGAGCAGATCTGTCAACATGTCAACCACATGACAAATACAGACACCAGCATTCACATATGGGCATACATTCGCAAATCCCTATCAAAAATAGGTGGTTTACTCTGTGGAGTTTCTGCAGAAATGACGCACACATAAACACACAATCATCAAAAGGGCTGGTGTGGTTAAAAATTTCAAATGCGCCGTCAGTCAGTACTCATCCGTGCGCATGTAGGTTTATGTATGTGAGAGACAGGGAGAGACAAAAATGTGTGTGTGTAGTTGTCAGTCAAGATGATGGACACGGCTTTTCACGGACTCACAATTGCTTGACAGCTGACCCCACAACAAGCCCTCCCCCCACAACACATACACACATGTATTCACACACACTTCAGTCTTGTGGAATACACACCACCCTCAGGGGTCCCAGAAGCACAATACTCAAGTCAGCAACTACACAACTCTGGAGGGGCCCTGTCCATCCTTACATGAGGCTTAAAACAAAAGAGTGTGTGTCTGTGTCTGTGCCGACTGGGGAAAATGCAGTCGGACATCGAGCGGCTCTTAGCTTTGCCTCTTTAGCTCTCTGATGCTTGCCTGCTGCGTCTTTGTGACACGATAGACGACAGATTGAGGCAAAGAAACATTTGCAACTATTTAGAGTAAAAAAAAATTTTTCAAGCAACTTTATCGACTAATTCAGGAGCGTAGCACATTACGTTTTGCTTTTTAGAGATTACATTACAAAGTTGTGTTAATGCATTACATGTAAATAATCCTACATTAAACTAAATTAAAACCTGTGTTAGTATCTGTCATGGATCTGTTTTGGCCTTGGCTGAAGGCTCTTTCCACTGTCTAAAGGAAGAAATTATCACTGTATGGTCACTGTCACTGTTCAGGGCTAAAAACCTGTCAAATACATCTATTGCACGTGCACGCTGACATGATGGTGGCAGATGACTCTCATCCCATTTTTGGTTATGGTGCAAATGCATCATCTCCTAATACACAGGTTAGGGTTAGTTTTCATCTGACTCTGTAGCAGAAACAGAGAGAGAAATAAAGAGACCTGTGCCGAGCTACGTAGTGGCTGAAATGCTGCTCGTATCGAGGCGGAATCCCTGTGTGAACAATATACCAATGACGGGCGACCATTGTTATGAAATTAACACCAAACTAAATTGAGTAAAGAACGAATGTGATAACTTTGATCGTTACAAATAAAATAATTAGAAATTTTAAAAACAGCTTTAGAAGAGCAATGGCTAATTAAAAAATGATTGATCTTTCAAAGTAACATCCCCAATACTATTGATTAATGTGTACTTTTTAAAACTAAAATTTATTTAAGAATGTATTGCTGAGTGTGCACACTTTAACTTGGCAGCTCACAACAGTCCTTACCAGAAAAACAGCAGCATGGGTCATTGGTTCAAATGCATAAACAGTCGATGCACATATTTTCCTCACAAACGACCCTTATGTGGTTGTGTTAATTATCGCTGTTGTCTCTCGGAAGATGCATGTTCCTTTCCAGTATTTCTCCAGCTGGCCTGTGGATTCTAAGGTGCAGACTTGTTGCCATAAGTCTGGAGAATCCTGCAACAACTCAGAAAAATGGCACTTCCCCATGCATCACCAGAAAGTTCAGACATTGACAGCAACGCTTTTGAAAGTCATTCCAACGTGCTTTTCTGTGATTACCAACGGATCCTGCCCTAAACCGTCCAGATGTAAATCTATCCCACCTATTTGGCACACCCAGTAGCTGAAAACAATGTTTACAAGTAATTTGAAGCTACTATTTGTCCCATGTCTGGTGTGGGGAATGATAGCGCTTTAACATTGTTCCAAAAAAAAAAACAATCTTTGGGGGCAAAGCCCATCTGTGGTACTAATACATCACTTGTTGAAGTGAGGAGAAACATCAATACAGCTAATATAAAAATGATTACAAACTACGCCTGGTGACATTTTTACCACTTTGCTGAGCACACCACTTATGATCTCGACAGAAGCGGAGAGATACATCAAGAAATAAACAGAGTGAGAGAGAGAGATGGGGGGTGGGTGCAAGGTGTTTTTATGCACGCCTGTGTGCGAGCAACATGGTGGGCTGTCTGAGAACTCTCTCAATCAACTTCTGTTGATTGCATATTTACATAATGTTTATAGATGCATACTGAGCAAGAGCGTGGATAACATGCAAACACAGACACATGCACACTTGTATGCACACAACAAACAGGCAAACAGCCGTAACCAGCACACACACAACCTTCCACCACACATACAGAAACACACACTGCCTAGCTGATAACCTACAGATATAGTAGTACTCCTGTCCAGGCCTGAACTCAAAGCCCAGGGAGAAGGGAGTGAAGAGCTGGAACTTCTCTGAGAAGCGCAGGGGTCCATCAGGACCGCTGGGACGGTTGCACTCCCAGCGCTTGAAGCCGCGCATCCTGTGCTGACAGGAATTGTAGCCCTCCTGGTTGACCATGAAGAGGATGTAGCGCTCCATGCGTCCATGGGATGGAGGCCCCTCGTAGTAAGGACAGTAGATGTCCAGATAGTCATTGATGTTCACTGCCACTCTGTACTCTCCGTGCCAGAACCTGCAAGACATGGTGGAAACAACGAATCAAAGTTTGTTCATGAATAAAAATAATCACAAACAGGCTCAGGGAAATGTCTGGAATCAGTAGGCGGAGGTGATACGCCTATGAGAATATTTTACCAAGGTAAAACCTATACATTCATACTAATCTATGAATATTTACTCCCTTTATTGGATTTCTGTATGACTGCACAGCATAAATGAAACTGTAGTAGGTGTCCACTCAGTGCCGTCATGCTGTGTGCTGTAATTATATGTAACTGTATGATCACTGTTAGGAAATTCTTGTATTTGCACATCTCAACAGTCAGCCACAAATAGAAACCGTTAGAATGCTGCTCAAGGACAACAAATGCTTTTTGATGGTGGATCTTTAGAAAGCAAAATCACAGTACACGGCAAAAAAAAAAAATAAAAAAACCTAGAGTGTGTTAAAATAAATTTAATAAACAGGAGGGGAGAAGGAAAATCCATATGAATCCCTTTGGTTATCTTTCTCATTAGAAACTAATTCTATTTTAATAAATTCTGACAAACTGGGCTTCATGGAAAATATGAACATGTCTGGAATACAGTCAGAATGAGCCTTCTCATGTGATACTCAAGAGAAGTGGGTCATGCGATGGTAGACAGCACACATTATTATCCCACCCCCTAAAGCAGTGTTCAGAGGTGGCTGTGCTGAAGGTCCACTAAGTATTATACACATGTGGATCATTGAGGCTGGCATGATGAATAGAAGTGGGTCAGATGCTAGTGAATCAGAAATGTTATTATATACACTCATTGCAGATGGTTTGTAAGTGTGGCTGTTTTTCAGCTTCTGGCACTGCTCAAAGATCTTGTGAAATAAATGCAGATATGAGAATACATACAAGATGGTGAATGCACTCAGTTATAATCCAATAAAAACATGGCTGTGTTTTTCCCGATATAATAAGGTTCTGTTTATGTTTTCCCCTCCTTGAACCGCCACCTTATTGTGGTGGAGGGGTTTGAGTACCCGAGTGATCCTAGGAGCTATGTTGTCGGGGGCTATATGTCCCTGGTAGGCTCTCCCAAGGCAAACAGGTCCTGGGTGACGGGTCAGACTAAGAGTGGTTCAAAAGCCCTTTATGAATAGATTAAAATCAAGAACAGTGATGTTTCCTGGCATGGCTCAGCTGGGGCCCCACCCTGGAGCCAGGCCCGGGGTT